TCTGCCAATTGGAAAATCCCCAAGAAGAAGCTGTGGCAAAAGCAAAATAACTGACGAAAGGAATGGACAGGGACGGACAGAGAAGGTACATTAAATGATGGAGGGGAAGTATAATGTTATACAGATCTGCGGGACTCAGCCATCGGTTCTCTTTTCTTTCCCCCCACTTTTTACACGGTATCACCAGCAACGAAAACCATTCACAGTGAAAGCTTTTATCCTTTCCTCACACCCAAAAGATATGCAATTTTCTGCTTCTGCTGCTGTTTTCTGACTCTGCTTTGTTGCTGCTACTGTAGAAAATGTCAACGTGGGTGGGGTCGAGTGGGTGCGCATGTGTGCTGCCATACGCTGTTGTCATTTATTGCCATTTGCTCCTCAGTGCAGTTTTCATGTAATTTTCAAGTATTTTTTCAACACTCTTCCCACCACCACCACCACCACCACCACCACCACCACACACCCAAACCTCTCTAAGTCTCTCTCTTGGCAGCCGCAATGCAGCAAAGTTTTTCGTTCGTCTCGTATCTGTGTTGCATGTGTATGTATATTCTCCCAATGCATTGGGGCAACACACGCCCACACAGTGGCTCACAGTGCCCCATCGCTATCCCTGGAGCCTGCCGTGCCATCCCAGAGCTCACATCAGTTAAGTAAATAACATTTTTCGCACTCTTAGTCACGTTCCTAATCATTTTTATTTGGTAACTGTTTGGAAAATGTTTGCACTGGCAGCCCAGGAGGAGCTGCCATCCAGCTCCTATCCCCCACACACACACACACACACACACACACACACACACACACATGCACAGATACCCTGACAATATTTGTTGAAATGAGCTTTGGCACTAATATCGTTTATTAGCTTGGCACTTGAGTGTTTAAATGCTGAAAAATTGCTCGTGATAGTCGTAGTCGTAGCAGTCCTTCGCTGGCAGGACACAAGCATTGCGAGGGTATAGAGGAGAGAGGATGGTGGCAGTGGATGGTGGGGCCACGTCGTTGAGTTTAATTTGAAATTAGTTGAACACTTGCTAGTGGCTCATCGTTTCCTTCGTTCTCATTTTTTTCTGCAATTTTTTGCTAACCAAGCATTTTCTTTCTAGCTTAAACAAGGATTTCCACTGCCTTCCACCGTCTTGCCACTCGCAGCCATCGTTTCGCTGTCTGCTTTGGGTCGTGGGTTTTAAGAACCAAAATAGATAGAATAGAACTGCGGCTGGCTAAGAGATTTTTGTCTTGCTCTAAATGTGTGCTGTAAATGGCAAGAAGATGTTTGTGGCTCTTGGGGAAGAGCAGCTTTAGCAATCAAATGAATAATCAAAAGCAACAATTTCCTTCTTGAACATGCGTAAATTCGTTTTACATACAACAATTTCCTAACCAAAACTCAACATTGAATGGCAGACAGGCTAAACGCCAGTGCCCCAACATCTGTTTGTGGTCAATAAATGCATTTCAGAAATTATTTCCTCCATCCTGTAAGCTAAAAAATATTTTAAACAATTGCAATCTGTAAAAGAGCTGCCCAACAATTGTAAAATCAATGAGGAAAGGCACTTCAGGGTAAGAGGATCCAGCTATTCCACATGTTGGAGCGTAGTCCCCTGCAGGGTCTGCAGTCCTCAACCAAGAAAGTCCTAGAAACAAACCACAGAAATCCTAAAAGGATTTTCGCATTTCAAGCCGACACTCGGAATGGTCAAGGGGGGGGGGGGGGATGGAAAAACATTTTCACAATATTTACTGGCAACAATAAACTCATTTCCCTTTTCTCCTAAGTAGAACTTACAACTGAAAGACAATGCCACTTCCACTGCCAAATGTCCCTTCTTCTTTTGACCAAAAAAGTACACTCACACCCGCTCGAGGGGGTGTGTGGCTCATGTCCGTATAGGTTTTTTTTTTTTGGGGCCTGCACTATTTTTCACACTATTTTCCTTTTTATCTAACAGCAGCCCAGCAGCGCATTAGCTACGAATACAATTTTAATTGTGAGCTCGAGAGTCCTTTAGGAGTTGGGCCTTCGCCACCCTCTGAAACAACAATTATTTGGCTGACAAGTTCAGGCCAAAATCAGTTTGGCAAGGCGGCTGGGGGCTATCCGAGGAATGACTGGAAAATTGGCGCAAATTTGGCTTGTGGCCAAAACTACTTAATAGTCCATAGTGCAGCCGGGTGGAAGAAAGCTGTTCGAAAGAGTGTGAAAATATATGGAACGAGAAGGGACGTGTGAGACGCTTCTTACGCGTCACAAATTTTATACCCGGCACTCAGTACTACATCTGTAGCTTAGCGGTTATTTGTCAAATTTTAAATTTTTTCCTCATCTGTCATCTACATCTACAGCACTTCTCACGCCAACACGCTCCGTTAGCTCGGCTATTGATGCTGATCAAGAATATATATACTTTATGGGTTGTATATATACAACTGTTATTCGCACAGATACAATATTCCCTATTTACTCTTCGAGTACTGGGTAAAAAAAGGTGGTGTTTGCAGAGTACGGCACTTACTATTTTTCTAGGACATTTCAGTAGCATTTTGAGCAGCACATATGTACATCATATTTGACCTTTTTCCCACTTTGTGGTTTTTCCTTAGCTGGAGGGGAAGCCCTCAGATGAGAGCTCACCTTTGCTGTCTGTGAATTCAAACAGTATTCAATGGAAGGGAAGCTCTCTCAATGCTCTGTCTGTCTATTCAGTCTCTATCTTTTTCTTTGTTTCATATTTGTCTATGGGTTACAGTTTCTCTCTCTTGCTCTTTCTTTATCTACCCTCGTAGCCGTGGGGGTCCTTGCTTTGTTTGCCTGTTGGCAAATGTAGCAGAAATCTTGCTTAAGTGAATTCAGGCTGGAATCTTAGTTAATTTTTATGGCAAATAGCAGACATTTCTACCCTGCAGAGCAGCTCAAGGGACTATGTGGCTTTCGACTGGGACTTGCAAATGCTAATTGCTGCTGTAAATTGGCCTATCTAAAGGAATAATGGAAGGCTTTGGCCACAGTCATCCACCCAGAGTCTGGAATGCGTCTGCTCTTATGCATATAATAATTGTGTGCCACAGATGTAGGTGTCATGCATTTGAATGAAGGAACCCTTCAGAGATTGTGGTGATTGGAATAGTTGATTGAGATGCCAGCATAAATTCTGATGGAATGTTAAATGCCCAGATTGGATTTGCCCATTGGAAAATTAATTTCGAAATATGAAAAGTTGATTGGCAAAAGTAGAAGGATGCCAGAAAATGGGAAAATATTTTTGAAATATAACAAAAAATTGCTCATTATTAAATAAAATATTTTCAAATTTAAACTTAATGATTTCCTATTTAGATTAAAAATTTGCATATTAATTTATTTTATTACGAAGCTGTCATATGTACATTAATTTGATTGTATTTATTTTGAAGTGTTTTGCGGATAGTTGAAATATTTTTAGGTATTGTTTAAAGTGAAAGTATTAAATTTGACTCATTTTTTTTGTTAAAAAAACCAGAATCTAAAATTGATTGTCACAGAGTTTTAGTTGTTTCATCACCAAAATTATACACTTCCACAAAATCATTGAATTTTCATGAACTAAAGGAACAAAATTGGGTTGCTGGGAATACAGAAAATAAGAGAAATACGAGCACAATCGTATCAAATATCACCCTCTGGTGATTGCAAGCTCTAATCAATTGAGATTGTGATTGTCAGCTAGCAGGTGTTCCAATCAAGAAATATATATCAATTTTCATAGAAATTCAATTTGCCCCAAACACATAATAATTTCCAAGAAGGTCTCCTGCTCAGGTGTCTTTAATGACATAATTGAATGAATTATGAGCAGAAAGAAGACCGCCCTGAAGTGAGCTTAGCAAAGTGTTGCCAAGTTAAAGATACATACACATACAGAGAGATTCTCTTTGCCATATATATAAATTGGTAATTTAATATATTGGCAGCACACACACATCGCAACAGCAAAGAGGCTGCTACAGAGCTCTGCAGAGGTTGCTGCTGCTGCTTTCGCATAAAATGTAATCAATTAAAATTAATTTGCTAATGAAAATGTCAACGATAAAAATGTTAGAAAAGGAACAACAATGGCGGGAGCTACCCCTCAACCCACACGTTTATGAACAAGTTTTCCCACAATTTTCCCCTTCTTTTCTGCTGCTTTTTCGCCATGCTTTTCAGCTTATATAAATGAATGATAGACATTGTTGTTATAGCAGCAGCAAAAGTCGAAGGGGATCAATAGACGACGTGTATGGCATGTGGCATGTTGCTACCCTACCTCAGTTCCCTCCCTCTCTCCGTAGCGAAAATGTCTTTTTATTTGTTGTGCTTTTTTTTGTGTGTTCGAAATCCAATAAGAAATGTTGTGCTATTTTTGGGGGCACGCAATTGTCAAATGCTACCTGTGTATCCTTGGGTATCCTTCGATTGCATAACCAATGAATGCAATAGGAAAATGAATGTTCCCTCCCCGAATGTGAATGCTCGAATAAGTCGAAAGCAATATGCTGTTTGACAGCAATTGGCCCCACCGAAATGGCCAACGTGACGTATGAGTGCGATGTACTGCGGTGTAGCAGTATCTTTGTAGTTGTATCTCTAACTGGCCAAAAATTTGGTTCTTAGAGCCATATGCATGGTCATAAATTTTGCCTTTGCGGGTTTGTACGCAATAAGCGGCCAAAATATTCTAAGAGGTCTGCCGTTGTTTATTTATGATTTCGATCAAGCAACAGGGCAGCCAATGCTAGGTGGTTTTTTGGGTGGCAGAAAATACAATTGGAACATTGATTAATAGTTTATTGTGGCTGTAAGGTAGCTGTAGGAGAACTACCACAAGTTTCCGAGTATTTAAAGTTTCTCTAAAATTCAGCAGAAAAAACATTCAAGTCTCGGTGCAGGAGGATGTCAGCGCCATTGCCCCCTGCTTCACTTGGATGGTTCTGTGTTATCTCTGTGTGTGTGTAGCGGTGGGGGTAGCACTTACCTTGTTGCCAGATCCCGATGTACGAAATTCATTTGCTCCAAATGCTTCATGCCCGATGCAATTTGTGTGGCAATGTAAACTAAGCAGCCATAGCTGTGGGTGTGGCATGGTGTGGCAGGAAGAGATGGCGCGGCATCAAATGAGAATTTCGGAAAAGTTTTTCCAAAGCGACAACGAGGCAAAAGTCGTGCCGCAGAGAGTGGGCGGAGCGGGGTAGTGTTGGGGTAGAATGAGCCCCAAGTTAACGAAGTTTTTACATCCGTTTGCGCATGTTGCATGATGGTTGGTGGTGGTGCGGTGCGGTGCGGTGGTGCGTCGTTCGGTGGCGGATCGTTGTAATCATTGAACACGAGACCGGAAGTGTAGCGTCGTCGTCGTCGGTACAGGAAGTGCGATAAAAGACGCACAGCAGCAGCAGCAGTAAAAAAGAAAGTAAAGTAGAAAACCCCAGAAAAAGGGAGAACGAAAAACATTAGTTACAAAGTAGATCCTTTAAGGATGATTGCTTCCTACTTTCGCTGCGTTTCGCTTACCTTAGACTCTTGTTGGCCATCAGTCCGCTGGTTTCGGCCACATGCTCCTGCAGAAACTGATTCAAGTCGCCCAAACAATTCGAATAGTCCTGCACAATGCAAATGGGTTCATCACGCAGACAAGCGCCCACCAATCGTGCCACATTCGAATCCGAAAGACGCGCCAACTGTTTGGCCTTGCAGCGGAATTCCTTGCGCAGATGATCGCTGGCTCCAGGCCGCAGTGTGGCAACAGCTACCAGAGTGGCACTACAAGGGAGAAACGGGAAAGTGATTAGTCTCTCCTAAGGGCAGATCTGTAATACCCTGCTGGCACACACGTATTTCCAGCAGCACAAAAAGAATAAATTCCTTTCACAGGTGACTGAAAACCACAGACAGAAACTGGTGGAAGCAGAGGGGGAGCATGGGGACAGAAAGGCACCAGCAGACAAAGAACAAATTTGTCAGCCATTCGGGAGAGTGGGGGAAAACGAGTTGGAATTTCGAGTTGAAATCAAAAATTCGCATAACAATAGTTGACAATGACGAAAAACCGCAATCCGCAATACTTTAATGCGCACAGACACAACAGACAGATATTCTGGCAGACAGACAGACGGAGAGAGAGAGAGAGAGTCAGAGTGTGACACCGAGGAAGGAAGGACATCACAAATGGTTAGATGAAAAGGCATAAAGCAAAGTGAAAACGATATGAATATGATGTGAGTCCATGTCCTCTTTCTTTCTCTCCCAGGATGGAGTTACTCCTTTGACGACTGTTGCTGCTGCTGGTTGTGGCTCTGCCTCGCCGGCCCCCTATTGTTGTCACAAATAATGCCATGTCTGCGGTAAGAGCAATAACAAGAACGGACAATGGTGGCAAGATCAGGTGGCATTGAACGAACCTATGGATACTCTTGATTCTGCTTTTTTTTCTAGGGTGAAGACAGTTTGTTTGTGTGAAAATCCACAGAAAGGTATTGGCTATATTCATGTTTTTGATATCCATACTTTTTTATCCCAAATTATATAAATTATATTAGATATTAGCTAGGAAAACTTTATCTATACCGATCCGGATCCTTATTAATACTTTTGAGCATTCATAGGAAGGCTCTCCGTACATTTACAGCTAAATATTTATGATTTTCTCTAAAACACAAATCTCTAAATAAACTTTGATTCTCCTCATCACAAAGCCCGTCCGCGAATCAGAATACCCTAAAATAGTGTAAAAAACAATTGCTGAGGCACATGCTCTCTCTGGCCACAAAAAAGCTTATCAGAAATTCCATTATGAAAACTTGAAAGCACACAGGAAGAAAAAAACAACGAATAAAAGAGGAATGAAAAAATCCAGCAGTTAACGTCAACAGCCAGAGACCATGTCCCGAGAGCCCACATGCACAGGACATCCCAGGACGTGAGATGAGTTTTTTGAGTGGCCGCAGAGCGGTAGAGAGTGAGAGACATAGGGAGAGAATTGTTGTTACCTTTGATTTCGTTTTGTGTTCCGTTTAATTGAAGCTTTTTATTGCACATTATGCATGAAAGAGGGGGAGCACAGAGAGGATCAAGAGAGGGTCATGTAAGGGTCCGCTGGGGATTGTGGTTGATTTTCGGGAATATATACATATATCAGGTTCTGCATGGCCCTGTCTATTGTGCATAGGAAAAGCCGCTGGGCAATGTGCCGTTTTACGTGATGTTTACTAATACAAACGCAAAAACGGCTGGTGGATGTATGTATGCACGTCCAGCCCTGATATAGATCCGTGAGAACGAAGCAATAGCTGGCAGATTTTTAAAGGCAATATTCAACCAAAGTTGAGTTTTCAATAATTAATAAAAAAGATATATCTACCAGAAATCAATTTAAAATACTTAAAATAAGAACTATAAACATTTCAAAAATATATCAGTAAAAAGGTTATTGGTCTCAAAATTATATTCAAACGAGAAGGGACGTGTGAGACGCTTCTTACGCGTCACAACTTTTATACCCGGCACTCAGTACTACATCTGAACCTTAGCGGTGTTTTGTAAAATTTTAAATTTTTTCTTCATCTTCATCTACATCTAAAATACTTCTCACACCAACATGAATGAGAGAATGTGCAAAAAACCAATGTAAGCTGCGGGACTGGGTGAGTTTAGCTACTGCATATTAATTTCTTCATTGTGTCTATAATAATGATCCAATCGGATTTGGTGATCTGATAGATATGGTCATTCCCTACGTTTTTAGATTTCTGTTATCTTCAAAATTGTAGGTTTGGGAGGTTTTCGCCCTTGTGCGGGGGCGGAAGGGGGCGTGGCGCATTTTTGAAATACACTTGTAACACTGTGAGCAGAAGTCTGGAGCCAAAATTTGGTGGTTCTAGCATTTATAGTCCCTGAGATCCAGGCGCTCAACAAGACGGACGGACAGACATACAGACGGACAGACGGACAGACAGACATGACTCAATCGACTCGGCTATTGATGCTGATCAAGATATATATACTGTATGGGGTCGGAAACGTTTCCTTTTGTGCGTTACATACAACCGTTATTCGCACAAATACAATATACCCTATTTACTCTTCGAGTACCGGGTATAAAAATATACCGAAAACTATTCCTAAAAGAAAATATATTTTATGTTATTAAACTAAACCAAAAATCAATTAGAAACTAGTCTAGAAATACGTATACCAAGAATGTACCTTAGATACATCAGAAACTTATGCAGAAATATATATGAATAAATATAATCGATATATTTATGAAAAACATATATTCCAAGATTCCAGCATCTTTTCTTATCATCATCTGTATCCTGTATCTGTATCTGCATCTGTATCATGATCCTATATCCTCAAAACTGAACCTTTGGTATATTCTTGTCTGCTTCTTAACCCTGAAAGTTTGCTTCTTTGAAATTTGCAGCAAGCAGTTCACTAGGGCCTATTGTTTTTGCTTCAAGAGCAAGCGATCAAGTTGTCCTGAAGATAAGTCTCGTTTTAAACCTCGTCTTAAACCCTTAACAATTGGTTCGTTACCAAGACGATCTCTGGTAATTCCATCCAAAAGCACACCTTCCCCCACACTCTTTTGGAAGCAGTTTCCACTGTACTCAAATATCCAAGTGCAGGGCTTTCCATTTTGACCTGTCATTTCCTTCTCGTTTTGCGAATTGTGCGTGAATTGTGGCTTTGATTTTCGAGCTCAGAAAATGTCTATTATAATTTCCATCTGTGGTCCTGTGGACAATAAAGTCCATCTGTTGTCTGATAACTGTCTATCCAGCTGTCTATTAATATTTTATCCAGCACCATGCGCCAGGGGAACAGAGACAGGAGGCACAGGTTCTCGAAGAGTGGCAATACTCTGGGAGTGCCCGGAGAGTGACTATCTCTCTGTGTGGGCTTGTGTGTGAGTGTTAATTATTTTGCATACATCTATATATCTATCTATTGGGCTGAGCTGCGTCTGTGCCTGAGTCTGCATCTGTCTGGGTATTTGTGAGGTTTCTATGCTGGTTTTTGCAGCCACTGCAGTGGTTTACTGGCAGAACCTGTGACTCTGCCTCTGCCTCTGTTTCAGCACTCTCCTGGCACTCCCCTGGCCACAGCTGCCTGCACTCGGTCTCTTGTGGCGTCCTCTGTGCATCTGCTGGTGCAATATTACGTATACGTAATACGTTTTGTGGCTTTCCAACCGCAAAACTATTAAAGCAAGCAGGCAAATCGAATTGTTGCGTTGAGTAACATATTAAAATGTGCCAGCAGACAGGACAGAACGAAGCCGATGAGGCCAGACACTAGAACATTGTTCGTCGAGCCTTGGACTCTAATTGATTTTTGCATTGCAAAACCAATAGAACGGAACCAGGAATCAGAGGTAGCAATTGTCATGGGCATATATTTCAATTGAAAGGCAGAGCGGTAGGCAGCGGGGGTGCCGTGCCGATAGAGTGGAGCTTTCTTAAGTGTAATTGGATTTGCAAAGAGAGCAAAGGTTTTGTGGTTAAAATAAGAGTATAGCTATAGGAGCATCAAAGCTGTAACAGATGATTATTTGCTAAGGGAACTTCGAGGAATGCATGAGCTATAATTCCCTGAAGGAATGACCATATAATCATGGGGAATATTATTGCAATTCTTGAGTTTATTAGCGGATGTTCAGTGTTAAATTTAGACTACCATAGACTAAATCGCTGCCACTAGGGCAACTTTTTCCTGCGAAAACTTCTGTTAATCTGAACCTCATTTTGACTGTAGAAATTTCAACTGCAGCTGCAGTTGCATGCGAGTTGTGTGTGTGCCTCACAAATAGCAACTCGATTAGGCCTGCCATGCAGCAGGAAAATTAACTGGGAGGGACCTCACTGGCACTGGCTTTGGGTTCTGTTTCTGTTTCTGTTTCTGGGGTTGCAATGGACTTTCCTTTTTTCCTCCCCCCCTTTTTGGTGTGTACTTACTTCAGGACATTTGTTTCGCACAAATGCAGTTCCCCGAACATGCCGGAGCCCAGTTTCTCGACGATGACCAGGGACTGACGTGGAAACTCCTGCACTTGGCAATTGGCCTGCTCTTCGTTAATGTCGGCGAAATTAGCGCTCATATCCAAATTGTAATGATGCGGTTTGATGCCACCACAGCCACCACCTGCTACAATGGTGCCCACTCCAAGGCCCATGCTGCCCGCGCCCACACTGATGCCCGTGGGCGTTGTCGCTGCCGTTGTCGAGGAGCTGAGACTCAACGAGCCACTACTCTGCGAGCCCGGTGGCGGCACGGACATGGGTTTGCTGCAAATTGGTGTGGCTGCATAATATTTCTCCGGCGGCGGTGGCACTGGCGGCGGTGGTGGCAGCAATGGCAGGCTCCCAACAGGCAATGCCACGGGCAGTGGCACGGGCAGTGGCAGAGGGAGTGTGGCAGCATTAAGAGAGTTGCGTGCACTGGTGGTTACGACGACGACGCCGCTGCCGCCGACAGCGGAGGAGGGTCCATTGCTGATGGCAGCACCAGCACCAGCACCAGCACCAGCCCCAGCAGGAGGCGGCGGAGGTGGAGGTGCACCATTGGGAAGCAGCTGCTGCATGTGCGGCACCGCATAGTCCTGGCACACAATGTCCGGTACATCTGACAGAGACAGCGCAATAAGATTGGAAGAGACAGAGGAAGAGAGTGTTAATTTTTTACCGTAAAAATGGGTAGAAATTTGTTGGAAATAGCGGAAACTCTGGCAAAAACTTAACCTCACTAAACAATAAAACTTTTTTAAGCGCCAGACGAATAAAAGTTGCACACCCTCCCAAAAAAAAGATGGGGATTATACAGATGAGAAAAGCAGACGGACTAAGAGAGGGACTAAGAGAGGGTAAGGGAAAAGGCTTTTTTTTACCCTCTTAAGATAAGGTTAGGTCTTGAAGAGAGAGCTATAAAGATTACTAGAGAGTGAGATCCAACTATACCCAAAATGAAAGGCAAAAACGTTTTCGAGGAAATCAAGTCCTTGGAAATAGTTTGCGGAACATTTTCGAGATGAAAACTTTCAAGAAAGATCTTAAAATGTGCTTGCAATTCAATTCAATAAGAATTTGTGCACTTAAATAAAGCTTTAATATACACGTCGCGAGTTTTGTGACTTGCACAATGGAAATTATTTTGAAAAGGTTTGGAATTGTTCGATCTGTACAAGTGTAAAATATCGTTTAATCGAGCTGAAACCCCATATACCCCATAACCCCCCCAAATTATTATGAATTCCGCGATAAACCAATTATTTCCATTATTTTGATACTCCCAGAAGCTTTCTTTCTTAGGGAACTTGGCGGTCAAAAATATTGGAAACTTGTGGGTCATTTCAGGGAATATTTTCTTTTCTTAATCTCTGGAGATTTCCATTAATTTGGATATATAAATCTGTCTGTACGTATTTTTAATTTTCCAAATATCCTTCTTATTATTTTTGAGAAATAAATTCGATTTTCCTTCATTTTAATTTTTAGCTATTTTTAACTATTATTCAATATTCTCCACCAATACCCCTGGTATTTCTCCACATCTAATATTTCAATACTGATTTTATTTCAGGTAAGTTTCAACTTAAATTTCATAAATATTCACCCATCCAAAGGTAAGTTGTAGCCTGTTTCCTTTCTTCAACTGTGTTTCAGGACTTCTTTTCTTTTTTCGTTGTAGAGATCGACCACATATGCTTTCGAGTCCCCCCTCGCTCCAGAGCCAATAAATTCAGACGACAGGCCACAAAGTGCAATGGTTTGCATTTGTGAACAGTTTTGCATTTGCCATTTCCTCAACATTTCCTTCGGCTCGAACATTTTTCCCTCTACCCCACTCGCCCTCCCGCTGATCCCTTTTGCATTGGTTTTCATTTGTCTTGTCCCGAAAGTCCGAGAGACTTTTCTGCCTTCAACTTCAAACTTTTCCCATTTAGACCCCAACAAAAAAAAGAAGAAGCAAAACCACAAGACCTTGGAAGGAAAACAAGAAGGAAAATGTTGGCGGAGTGGGGGGAAATGTGGGGCGAAGTGGCGTGTGGCGAAAAACTAAATGAAATTAATTGCAACATGGGCGAAAGAGACAGAGAGGAACAAAGAGGAAGAGGCACCCAAAAGGAAGAACTTTTAATTTTATTGTTGTTGTAATAATATTATTTAGTTTCGTCTTCGTGTGTGTGTGCCAGTGTTGCCCCATTGTCTCGTTTTTGCAGGGGGTAAGGGGCGGGTGCTTCTGTAATTTTTGCATTCGTTTTTGTGTCCAAAAAGTACCAGAAAAACATAAAATAACAGACTGAGAATGAAGGAAATAGACGGCCATAGAGTGACAAAGGGAGGAAGAGAGAGTGGGAGAATGAGACAGTTCCACAGTGTGCAAAAGAGACAGAAAGAAGCCCCACAGTTTGGATGTTAGAGACAGCGAGACAGACAGACAGACAGACAGACAGACACTCAACGAACGTTAATGACAAAACTTTTCGACGACTGAGCGAAATTCGTATGCAAGTTTTCTTCAACCAAAATGTACGAGTATGCTTGCCAAATATGTATGTACATATGCGTGTGTGAATCTGTATCTGTATCTTGCCCATATACTTATATGTGGGCTGTGCAATCAGTGCCCTCTCAGCTTTTGAGATGCACTGAAGTTTTGTGGCCTTCCTTCTCTCCTACGAGCTATTCGCATTTCCCACAAACTTGTAGAACATTTTCCGCACAGCTACAACTTTTTAGCAATTACCCTACGATTTTGTAGATATATTTATGGAAATCGTGGGGATTATTATGGATTAGTCTGGGAACTTTGAACGATTTGATGACCTCTGGTAGTACTGGGTACTAAAATCGGACAGGAACTGGCAGAGCTTCCAATATTTGATAAGTTTTTGTGCATTTGTAGGCTGTTTTACGCTCTGGGACAGGAACTGTCATACTTGATCAGTTTTTAAACATTTTAGGACCCTAAACCTTACTAAATAAAATTATTTTGCTCTATTACTACTTCTAATATCCCTAACTAAACCAATAAGCCCATCATTTATGGCTAAACGCAGCCCTAATTCAGCTATAATCTAAGTATTTGCTGTATCGAATCAGCCTCCACAGGCTGCACTTCGTGCAGCTCTCAAATGAAGCCATTTCCAAGTCGATTCATAAATTGGATTTCCCCTTTTGAATATGGGATTTTCCAGAGTATACAAGAGAGACCCGCCTGGTCCTTGGAGCGACCCGTGCATGGGTCGACCTGCTTTTAAACGACTTTCGTGCCGGGTCTCCTTCATCCTAACTTCTTACCACTCGTTCTTCGTTCTTCGTTCCTCGTTCCTTATTGCCATGTTTATTTGCATGCAATGTTATTAAGTTTTGTGGCATTCTGCCTCGCTCGCTCTCTCTCCCGGTCTCTCTTTTACTTTCTGGTCGTGCAAATTGGCAGTTGACTTCAAAAATAGACTTTAATTTGAGTGAGTCGTGGACTCGCTGCAACTTTTCCACAGCCAGAGTTTTCCGACCGAGAGAGAGAGTGAGAGCGAGTAAGAGAGAAGTTTTCAAGCACTCAATTTTGTGGGGCGTGCGATGTGAGCGCGCGAGACTGTGACGAGGTCTGCGGGGGTCTCTCAAACTTATAATTTATTTGAGCTAAATTAAATTATTATAGCAAGCAGGCGGACAACCAGACATCCTTTTGGGATGAACAGCAGGCAGAGAGGCAGCGAGCTATGACAAATATTTGCTGGCCAGTTATAAAATGCACCCAAAGGCAACATCAGAAAACTTTTTGCCAAATGACTCGAGCGCATGAAAGGCGTGCCATAAACGTTTATGATGAAAGCAGTAGATCCGGGCGGTACAGAGGATGTAGAAGATAAGACGGGAACAGATGAGGCAGGAGGATGCCGAATAAACCGAGCAGACAGAATAATCTGCTCCCAAAATGCTGAGGTGGTGGGGCTGTGCTATGGAATGCCACATAAAACAATGTGGACTGCATCCCCTTAGGTTGGTTCGTTGGTTACTCGTCGAAGCTACACGTAACGTAACCCGAACCTAAGGAGACAAAAAAAAGGATGCTCTAGCATGCCCTTAGGCGTCTCCCATGTGAAATGTGAACGAACCGAACCGGACAGAAGACATTAGAATTCATTACAATTTACGTAGCAGAGGTCGTAAACTTCTAACTGCAGCTTCCTGCAGTTCATCTGGCAATTAAAACACATGTGCCACACATGTCGCATGTCCTGTGTGTCCTTTGCGTCCTGTGTGTCCTCTATGTCGTGGAGAAGTAACAAAAAACCAGACAGGACAAAAAAATTGAGCACTACAGGTTGATGAAAAGTGTTGATACTCTTGGGGCTCGCAACGAATGGAGGGAATTTTCTTGCAATTCAAGGAGATTTTGGGAGCTCATAGCAATAGGAATAGGAGTATATTTCATAAGGATTGTCTTGGGAATAATATTTTTGCTTGAGTATTTTTTGTATACATTTTCTTCAGTATTATGTTTAGTGACTATTTCATTCAGTAATTATATCTATTAATTTATTTTTATGTTTCTGTGGAAAATAAATCCTTAAACTAAATGAGAAGTTCCTTCCCCAATACTTACTTTCTCCCACCTCAATATATTTTTCTTAAACGAACACAAAATTCCCTCATACCCTTACTCTCTCTCTCTCTCTCTGCTGCGAAGAGTAACTGAAAACTTCCGCCTGACTCAGCGATTCAACAATTATGTCCTGCGGTGCGCGCACAACGCGCATATCCCCAAAACCTGTTTTCTTCTTCATCATTTTTTTGGGGTTTTTTTTTTTTGGCTGTCCAGTTTCTTTGTTGTGCTACTTCGGCAGCCAGTACTGGCGCCCTGCCACACCTGGTGGCAACAATGCCACCGAACTTTCAGGATCCATGTTGTGCGCTAAATTAAGCATTGCTTTCTCAGTGGCGTTTCTCTACTCGTTTTTTGTTTTGTTTTTTGCCCTCGCATCGCAACATGGCCTGCAGGATGAACATTTGCATGTCCTGTCACAGACAGGACGCAAAACATCAAACTCATCAAGAGGCGACACCATCAGGGGCCAGCCCATACAAATAGGAGAGCGAGAGAGAGAGAGAGAGGGAGAGAGAGGGAGAGAGTCAAGTGCCATGCTGTGAGGCACGGCTCCCGAGTTTTATGGCTGATGGGCAGAGGGGTCCACAGCCCACACATCATTGTCATAGACGGTGCGTCTCGTACCCCATCATCATCATCATCATCATCGTAGTGTGTTCTTTATATGGATATAGAGAGAGAGAGTGACTGGGGGGGATTGTGGACTCACCTGTATAGTCCGGCGTTACATGCTGACGCTGCAGGTCATTCATGGAGCATCCACTGGCCGCACTGGTGTACATGTTCACATTGAAGGGCTCATGGTACAGACTGTTCTTGTCAATGGACGACTCATTGTCATCCATTGTTGTGACCACCTGAGGGGGACAAAAGAGCGGGTAAGAGACAGGTAGGAACGGAGGGGGTCGAGTGCTGGTGAGTGAGTAAAAAATTGCACCAGATAGTGACTGAGTAGTGAGACTGAAAAGTGAGAAAAAGTGTTGTGTTCATTCTATTTTTTTGTTCGCTGCATGTGTGTGTGTGTGTGTGTGTGTGCTGCATCCTGGAATGCCAGTTACTACAGTTTTTAATCATGATTTCTGGTGGAATATGCCAGAGCTGCTACGGCGTTAAGGTTCTATTTATTTTTTTTTTTTTCTGTTTTGCTGTTGCCCCAATATTTGACATGCATTCTGGGTGGTCCATCCATCCAACAGATGGGGCCATGCCCCGTAGCTAGGATATGTGCAACAGCAGGAGCATCAATTTATGCACTTTGCATGTAAAGCCCATTCGGGAGTTTTTAGAGACTGTAGGGGGAAAGGAGATTGTAGATTTTTAGGCGCTTACCTTTAGGACATTGCCGTTGCCGGTGTGGCAGAGTCGCTTATCGATGCCACCGAGTGTGTCTGGATTGAAATTATGCTGAAATGCATCCAAAACGTTGCCCCTGCCACGACCGCGCTTATTCCTCGCCACAATCAGCAATATAATGGCGACAAGCAGGAGAATAATTGTGGCCAGCACTGTGATTATGACGCCAACAAAACCAGTCGCTTCCGCTTCCTGATGGTCAATGGGTTTTGGAGAGATAACTAAAGAGAGAGAGAGAGAGAGAGAGAGAGAGAGTGAGAGTTGGATAGACAAAAGATGTATAAATACAGGAAGAATGATGCTATATTAATAAATTGTAGCCAGCCTTTTCTGTTTCTCGCCCACTGGCTTGTTGCCTGATATTTTCAATTGGCCCTGGAGTCCTTTTGTCTGCTGCAAATGATGTGCCATGCCCTCCGCACCTTCTGCACGGCTAATGAGAGTGCGGGCTGCAAGCAGTAATCTTCGAGAGCGAGAAAACTTTACAGCGCTCCCAAACTTTTATGCCGAGTTAAGAGGTACTTTTAAATAGAAGAAAATAATTAAAAGGTTTCTGCTTGGTTTTTGGGCTGTTTTGGTGAGTAGTTTTGCGAGTGCTTCACGCGCTGTTTAGTTGCAAATTTGTTTAAAGTTTTCTAGTGGTATACGATAGAAGTTTTTGGGGGTTTCTCTAAAATAAATTAGGGAATATTCAAGCAGAACTGCGTTGAATGGCGAGCAATTTCCCTGCCGCTAATTCAGTTACAGCGAAAGCCTTTCTCATTCAGTTCTGAAAGCGCAATTCATCAGCAAATTCCCGGGACATTCTGTACGGGAATCCATCAAATCAAATCAGTTCGTACTTGCGCGGATACCTCCCACTTACCCTGTGTGGTATGTTGGCTCCTTTCGCCACTGCTGACCGCTCGACCGACTTCATCGCGCTGCAGCGGATACTCGGATGTGTCCGACGGCTGTCTGATGCCATTGAGCAGGCCCTCATCCGTAAAATTGCCGACCACGGGCACTGCAACAGGATAAGAGGGAAGAGAGTGAGAGAGAGGCTAAGGATAGTATCTTACAGTTCAAAGGGGAGCTATAAAGGAGGCAAGATACAGGAGGAGGCAGAAATTTGCAAGCCAAGTGGCTAAAATGCAGCAGAAGGACGACAGCAGCCGCCGCCAGGTGGTACGATGAGGACGAGGATAATGATGATTATGATGATGATGGTGGAGGCGTGGCAGTGGCTTTGGCTGTGGCTGTGTGACAGCTGCCCCTCTGCCTTGATATACTGTCACGGCTAATGGGTCTCCGCCAGCAATTAGGGGGCGGCGGCGATGGGCGCCATGGAGAGCGATTATTATGATGATAAATGAGCAAGCCCTTCATGTCATATCAGCGCCTGGCTACAGCGAAATACAGCGAAGACGAAGACGAGGACGAAGACGAGGACCATGTCGACGTTGATGAGTGGCAATGGATGGGATAGGAAGTAAGCAAAAGAGTGGCGAAAAGTGAAGCGACTATGGACCAAGGGATGCTCTTTAGCTCTTTTTTTTTAACGATTAACCAATAATGTTAGGACTAAGACTCCATAACGATGGGAAGCCATTTGTTTGCAAAAGAAAACACAAAAAGTTTTGAATTTGCAGTGTGCTTTTGTGTGTATATTATTTGTAGTATATTTAAAGTATATTTCTCATAACAGGCAATAAAGCTGCTGTTGTTCTAGTGCTTAAAATATTTCTATGGTCCATTTTGGGTTTCTTTTGAAAAAAATCAGTTTACTGGAGAAAACTTTTGTTTGGGTATTTTTTTTAGTATATTTTTGGAGTTTTATTAGCGAAATTTTTCTATTAGGCTCGCTTTACCGATTGTCAAGATATAATTATTTTGTTATTATGACTTAAAGTATTTTTTGTGTTAAAATGTATTTGGTATAAATTGATCCGAATTTTCAAAGTATGTTCTTCAGGGCGTGTCATCATCTATTTGTCCCTACTGAACCTGACTGTGTGTCTAAGAAGATGAAAAAAGTCACTTACAGCCACTTCCACACACTTCACACTGAACACATCATGCCCGTACGCGATTGCAACGCGAATTAATGGGCATGACAAAAGCAGAAACAAGTTGAGTGCCAATTAGTGCTGCATACTTTTAGGTGCAGCGGTGGCTGTTTCATGAGGCAGCCAGCAACACCGTCCAGCCAGCCATGGCGGAAACGTTGCGATACTCCAACTTTAAGGCGTTGAAGCGTATGCCATCGGATTGTTTGCCATCGGTGTTGACATTTTGCTCCCCGACGCAACGCAGACAGAAAAACAGAACGAGCAAATCCATCGCAAAAACGCCAGACAGTCGTCAATAACAGAGCATATCGATAGGAGAGGATATCCCCAGAAATGTTTACCCATCGAGGGGACTCTCTGTTGACTCTGTTTTTCTATATCCTTTCTCCGGCTACGGTTCGGACAGCATTTCCGCCTCGAGCGTTTGTTGAACTTTCTCCCAAAAAAATACTCCGCTCCTCCCACTCCTGCTCCTTCTCTGATATTTAAAAACAAAATGGAAAACAGACAATTTTTAGTATAAATTCCGTACAAAAAAAAACTCTTCAGGGAAATGCAAATTTTTCAAGCTCTTGGCATTGATTTTGAGCTTGTTTTTTTGGCTGCAGATCCCCACCACCCACACCTTTTTTTCCTGGGTCGTCTATTTTCTTTGGCAACAAAAGTTGTTGTTTTTCGTTTACTCTTGTATGTGTTTGAATTTGCTATGCAAATAGCGACGACGGTGGAAAATGTTTTGTTTTCCCCCCCAGAAAAGTGTCTGGCAAAATGGGAACATTTCGAGGGAGGGATCCTCTGCAGGGATGCTATGGAATAAGCTAACCAAATTTGTAGGAGCGTCATATGTTGAATGAACTAAACCGGGAGTGTATGTTAATGTGTGACACCTCCAGGGGAAATATTTGAATGATAGCAGAACGAAGGAGTTCAAATTAATGATTAACATTTAGAAAGAAAATTACCAAAAAACTAGTCTGTAAATGGGGAAAAAATACATTATATGAAAACAACTAGTTCTTCCTGTTACTTATTAATATTTATATATTATTTATAAACTCCAGAAATTGTTTAAATAAAATGCAACGAAATGGATGGAAACGGATCTTAAGTATATTACTTTATTTTTATTTTCTGCCTACATATGTACATTCCAATAACTCTACGAATCAGATACATGTAAAATCCAGTATGTAGACAACTTATTCCGAGTGGCCTTAATTTTTTAGAGCATCATTTAAGTGCATCTTAGCTTCTCATTCTTTTCTACTTCCTCTGCGCTCCAGCAAGCAAATTGTTCTTGCGAAATCTACTCTAATTGACAGGTAACTTCTTCGAGATAATCTCCACTATAACCTCTCTCACTTGCAGCTGATTGTCTCACAATATCCTTGGCCTCTTTGAAACCACTTGAAAATTAAACATTTTGCAGCCTTAATGCTTTTTCAATATCAATGCACTGCCATTAAGCAAATTACTAGACGAGAAGCAATTCTATTCGTAGACGCCAAAATGATGCTCCAGTGCTCTCAAGGCCAGAGATGATGATGAAGGAGAAGCAGCAGTAGCAGTAGAATCAATTGAATTGGGTTGAGCAGAGGAGCAAGAGGGCCAAAGATGGGACCGGTTTTCTATAGAGATATCTCTGCATCGGATATGACACACAAAGCACTCGACCATATCGCTCTCACATTCACATACAAAGCGATTTTCAATTAGAAAGGATTAAGCGAGGCAAATTGCACAAGGATTTAAAGCGGAAAAGCATCAGCACGAATCAGCAGTGGCGCAGCGGGGAGCGAAGTTATTGAAATGAATCCCTACACGAATGACTGACTGAATGAATGCCAAATGCATCCAAATCCCAAAGAGTGAAAACAAACAAAGAACAAAAAATGCCAAGCAGAAAATAAGACACAGAGCTACACAGATACGAGTGTAGGCATGCAGATATATGTACATACAATGTATGAGTTTATTGCAATGTTATTGATTTATAAAGGGGAAAGCACTTGCCAGGGCTTACAGGACGGCAGGAGCGAGAAACGAAAGAGGCTTTGGAGAATAAATCTGTAAGGAGAAAGGGGAGCCAATGGAAGGGAAAACCCGAACAAGAAGTGATCATAATGTTGTGAGAACAATAAAATGGGAAATACTCTTCAGTTAAACTTTTTTGGGTGATGTATTAGAGTACCCAAAAAACCTCACCAATTATTAAAAACCTCTTTAAATTCCACTTTAATCTTGCAAATCTGTACCAAAAATTGTGTGTGTTGTGCATTAACCTCATTATCGAGCATCAAACTATTTCGAAATGTAGAGCCCAAGCAGCCAGCAGCAAAAAGGGAATTCACTGCTTTATTATGCAACGTGCAACAAGCAAAAAAGCAAAATAAAAGAGGAAAATAGGAAAAGCAGGAAGCCAGGAAAGCACGATGTACTCTCGAGCGATTTCCCGCACCCTCCGCCCCATCAGCAATCCTCTCAATGCTCAATCCCCCCAATGCTGCTTCACAGGCTCTTGGCACTGCACGGCACTGCTCATTGAGTTGCAAATTTCAAATGCACAAAAGTAATGCAACTCATTTAATTTTCACAATATCCTTGTGCTTTGGTTCTGTTTCTACTGGTGCTGGTGCTGGTGCTGGTGCTGGTGCTGTTGCCACTGCTGCTCCCGCTCCTGCTCCTGGCTTCTGAGTTCTACTGAAGCATATGCGTGGCAAAGTCGAAGCTGCTGCTCGTGTGTGTGTGAGTTCTTCCGTTTCCTCTCTGCCCCTGTTACAATGGAGCAGCAGCAGTGCACTGCACATTCCTTTTCCTCCCTTTAGAGTCCTTCGCCTGCTTTGTATCACTATATGCACAATTGCACACGGCATACGGTACACGGTAGAGCAGGGAAAACAAAGCTACCAGGAGGGAGCATCGCTCCGCTTCCCCTTTGCACTCTCTCTCTCTCTCTCTCTCTCTTACGAGTGCTCATCCCAGAGTTAAGTAAAAATTGGTTCATAGCCTAGACACACACATCGCAGACATAGTTATTCCTATGTGAGTGCACTGAGGGAAAATTGTGGGTTATTCGAGCGAGACGTTAATGAATAATTAATCAAATTAGGAACACGGGGTCTGCGGATGGGCATGGCTAATGAGTTGTCGTTGGACACAGCAAAAGGTGTGGGGTTTGCTGTCCAAAAGGTGTAAGAATAGGGATTATAGGGATGGGTGGATAACCACAGAAAAGTGTGTGTCCGTGCCATTTTTTATTTTTTATAAAATCCTCTTAGTGTAATAAGAATTTAGTAATTTGCTCAGTATTTCCCAAGAATTGGGTTATCAACTTTTTAGTATTCCAGTATTAAATTCAAAATCAATTTAAAATTACCGTACTAACTTTTTCATCATTATTCATTTTTTGTGTAATTTTTTACTCAATTTGAAGTTTTTTATGTTGTAGGTTCATTTTTTATAATTTATATTACTGATAATGGTTGCTGGTATTTCAAACTTCTTTTTATTTTCTAGCTACGATCTTTACTTTTTTTGGAAATAATTTAACTTTTCTACGTCCTTTCCTCTTTTGCATATAAACTCCTCCTTTTCTCTTAGTGTGGCAGTATATTTTGCACCATCGACTGAGCGACCGAGGACTCCCAGTGTTCTAGTTAGAGTCTGGAGCGCTCTCTGTGTGCTTTCATTTTTTTAATGAAATGCGCAAAGAATTTTTAGTGTCAGTGGGAATTTTCAATTGCTCAAAGTTGTTGTTCTAGTTGTTGCAGTTGTTGCAATTGCAGTTTATGTTTGAAGAGCTTGCCCCCGAACAGAAGAACAGTCTGTCTGTCCGTCTTATGGTCCGTCCGTGTGTTGTTTTTGCAGTTTGCCTGGCTAAATTATGTTTACTGCTCTTTCGGGTTGTTCGAAATAAATGAGATGAGGTTGGAGGAGAGGAGAGTTCCCCTGCCAATCGTACATGTGGATTGCAAAAAGGGTTAAAGGCTAAAACGGTAACAGAGGGGAGGCAGGTAAATGCCGTAAATTGTAGGTTGCACAGAGAGAGCAGATTATTTCCAAGTATCAAAGGGGAATTGATGATCCTTTAGGATGCATGAGGTTTTAGGAATGCAAATAACTAGCACTTTTCAACCATTTCCCAGCACACATTTGTACTCCGATCTCTGTTTGAGCTTTAATTATGCACAGCCTTGGGGATATTCCCTGCCCCCACTAACCAGTCAACAACAAGGACATCAAAATTAATTTAAACTACAAACAATAAAGTGCTCCCTGTGGGCGCCATTCTCAGTTCCTGCTGCACCTCTCAGTCGCTGTTAGGTGGCACAAGTGTCTCACCATGTGGCCTGCAACAGGGAGAAGATATTTGTAGATTGCTCGACGCTGATATGACCAGTAATCTGATGAGGGATAGTGGATAAAGGATACAGAATGCAGGTTGCAGGTTGCCCGAGGCAGAATGTGGAACAGCATCTTTGTTATGCAACATAATTGAGCGATAGATTCAGGAACAAATATGCCCCATGGGCCACGCGGTATCCAAAGAGAGTGGCATGGAGGGCTGACAGCCCAGTTAACCCTTTTTATCTGCTGTTTCGTTTCTCGTTTTTTGCGTGCCAGTGTTACATTTTGTAATAAAACAATTTCTGAGCAGAGGCAAAGCAGCATCTGCAGAGGGAACACAACGATGGGTCTTGCTGTGGGTCGCTGTAGGGGTCAGTTGGTGGAGGGGGCAGTGTGGTGTGGCACTTACCTGATATAAACGTAATCTCGCTGAGCATCATCCAGCGGGCGGCGAAATACAAATGCAACTGCAGATAACGCCCCAGGCGATGATGTAATTTGATTGTCACGTCGCGTGCATGATCCAGCACCAGGTCGGGCATATACGAGAATTGTACGGGCTCACCGCCAAACTGACGTCCACCAATGCTGAAGAAGACTTTGGCATGGACAAACACCTGCAAAATGAATGAGTCGGAGAGACAGTGAGAGAGAGGTAGGGGCAGACACACGATGGATGAGTAACTGTTTGGTGCACATTGTTTGGTCTGTTGTTTCTTCTGTCTGAGTGTGTCTTTGTGGCTCTGTGAGTGGCATAATAATTAAAGTAATCATTAAATTAAATATACGCTTCCCGCAGAGGGGTATTCGTTATTTTTTAAATAATTCTTAAGCATTTTTAGCACTCTATTTCCAGTTCTAACTATAGCCAAGCGCGATACATAATTGCGGTAAGAGTATCCCCAGCTCATCATATTCCCAAAGTTGTCTTCATTTTCTGTATGCAGCAAGCGCCTCGCCTGCTTTCCTGACACTTTTGGTCAGTGCCAAAGTTCAGTTATGGGCCCCAGACCACGGAAGTTGTTTGTAATAAAAAAAGATGGGGCAGAGAGGGGTGCAAGAGGTAGGTGGGGGGGTGGTGGAGGCACTCCACGACAGTTCAATTTTGGTCAGTGGCAGACAGTGGCACTCTTTTTCTAGGGCTGCCAGCCGGATGTGTAAGTGTTGTCTGCGGATGGGCAGGGGCTACGGCTACTTCATGGCTAATGAGTTGTCGTTGGACACAGCAAAAGGTGTGGGGTTTGCTGTCCAAAAGGTGTAAGCCAAAAGAAAACGTGGTTGGGATGTCTGACAGACAAAAAATCGATTGAAAGTGATTTTTTTGGTGCGTCTGGGAAAAGATTGTGATTTGAATGGAGTGATTGAATTCGATGGGAATTTAATAAAACGTTAGTCCGGGGTCTATACCGGACTTTTGATTTGAATATTGATTTAAGCATTAGATAATAACTGGAAGGGAATGCGGGACTTATTCCGAATATGGATGTTGATAATAACTATAAATTAAATAAAGATTGCATACATATTTTTTGGATATTTCAAGCGGTGGGAAATAAATAGATTTCATTTCAATTTAAAATAGGTTACAAATTAAAATTAGAAATAGGGAAAAGTCATCTGCAGGCAGTCAGGTAACGGATTATTTTGTGACTTTAGAGCCCCACTGCTCCGGAAATAATGGAACTATAGAAAAACTACCCAAAGATTTTGCCATCGTCTCATAGAAAACGATTTTTCTTTGGTTCTGTTTTCTGAAGGTAATACTTTTTTAGGAAATAATTCTGGTATAGTTTCTACACGTAAAATGGTATTCGGAAAAATGGTTCAAAATATAGGTCTTTAAAATTTCGACAATTATGGCACGAAAATTGACTGATGAATGGAATAATGCTTCAGGCTAGAAAAGCCTTTCAATCACTTATAGGTACAACGTAAAGATAAATCAGAATCAGGCACGTAAAATGAAACATATCATTGCCATTAAGTACAAATGTATGTATGTGCAAATGTAAATTGGATGTATTTAGCTACCTTCCTTGTCTTTTTTTTAATGAACATTCCCATCATATCCACGTCAATCATCAAACATTAACCAACTGTTGTGGTATCAACTGTACCTACATATGTATGCATGTTGTCCAGTATCTTTATTCATAATTTAAGTCTGAAACAGGCTCCAACGGAGATTTACTCAAGATATCCACTTTAATGTTTGTTCATTTAGGAAGCGCCTACTGGCTATGGCTTAAAGCACTTATAAGCGTCGTTAAGAAAGATGTCCAGTCCCGATAATACTTATTAGACATACACAGGTCGCCCCTGATCCCTCTCTATCTTGTCCCTCTGTTGCTCCACGCACTAATTAACCACAAAGTCCACAAACCAATTGGCAGCAGCTTCACAAACGGCACATAAAATTTCAATTACCACAAATTTTCTTGCCAGAGTCTTTGATTTGTGGCCGCCATTTGGAGTGGCTGTTGGAGGTGGAGATGGAGATGGAGTGGAGGAGCTCTACCTGGTCTCTGTAACACACACACCACACACACTTCTCTCTCGCTGATGGGCTCTGACCATTCGGTTTATGGCCTATGCCATGGCCATTGCCCCATAATTTACAGCGGCAGCACCGTCTCTGTATCGTGTGGCTCCCTCTCTCTTTCTCTCTCTCTCTCTCTCTCTCTCTCTGTCCGTGTCGTCGCTTCGCTATAATTCTTATTTTTATGATTTTTCATTACCATTTGCTTGCGCAGAGACTTTTTCCTCGACGAAATGAACCATAAGTCATCAAATTACTTAGAGACGAGGATACAAGACGCAGGAAGATCTCTGGTTTTTGCGGTTGAATACTGCCGTTTATGATGCATTTGATAAGCTTTAGAATTATGCTAATTGTGTTTTAATTATGTGAGATGCGTGTGGCCACCTGCCCCACCAACACCACTACACCACACCACACACTCGTTGCATGTCCAGAGATGTACTCGATAAGGAGACCTTCTGTTGGTTTGTTTGTTTGACTTTGTCTTTAGCATTTCTAATGAGCGGTCAGTAGGTCTTCCCATCGCTGTGTGTTTGCTCTTTAAAATGCATGCCCCACTGATTTATTAGCACGATTAAGGCCATCAAATACGTGTGGTCCTCTTAATTATGTTTGGTTATTGATGTGTGTTCTGTCCGCTGGTGGGGTTAGACTTCTGTTTTGTCTGCCTGTGGGGTTGGACTTCTGTTTTGGAATGATTAGCGCAGGTTCCCATGGGACTTTCCGTACTAATTATATCTCTAACTGAGGGATAAGTGCCTTATGTGACCCATATTTTGCCTTTGCAAACTATATGTTTGTACCCCATAAAACCCATAAAAATCACATGCCACAACATATTTTTACCATTTTATCTAACAATCGGCGCAACTTTGATGTGGAAAAGTAACCAAAAAGGAGGAAACAACCATGGCAAGTATCTATACAAAAAGGTGAAACAGGGTAACTCCGATAAAAGTTCAACGTAATTATGATAGAGCTGTTATTTGACGACCTAAATATCCATACACAAAGTTTTCCCCTGCACACGAAAACATTGATTAATTTGACACAAATTTGACAAGCCTATTGCCATGGCGAGTGTTTTCTACGGGACGGACTGGGCTACACACCATATAAAACCTCTATTCAATAATAAAACCAAAGCGAGCGAACGAATATGAGTGAGCGAGAGATAACATCGAATGCGGGGGGAGTTGTGTGGGTGTAGGTAATTATTAAACTGTCAAACGATACTCGAGAATGTCAGAGGCAGGAAACTTACAACAAAATTATGACCACGGTGTTTGGAAAGATTACTAGAAGCTGAGAAAGACTACTTTGTATTACTAATAAAAGAGGAACAACTGTAGGAACAGGAAAATCAATCTTTTGGGTATTATATATTTATATATTCCATGGAGGAAACTCTTAATAAATGTATAAAAAAATTACTTGCAAATTTCCCTGCCCATTTCTATAGTTTAAAGAATAATTTTTAGCTGACTTTCTCTTAATTTCCCTTATACGAAATCTACTTGCAAGAGTAAAACATTTCAAAGATTAGACATAATCATTATGCCTTACAAATACTCTAATAAATTCTAGTGTGAAAAAGAGTTTTAGCAGCAATAAAGACCTCAAGATCCCCTCCTCTTGTGTGCTTTAATTGTTTGAACACCCTTCTCCAGCCCCACTACCTTCAATTTCCGCCTAATTCCTTCAATTCTTATCTGTCAATGTGGCCATAGCTCTCTGCCTCCAATACTGACTTTGTGGTTGATTCTGAATGTTAACACATTGCCACTCCATATAGCTGCAGTAATTTGGGTCAATGGACTTGAAAATTCTGTGTGTTCTGTTTCAAGTTCTGTTGCCAGTTTGATGCGAGGTTGGGGGGTAAATACTCTACAAAGAAATAAACATGGTCCAATCATTTTTTATATGTATGCACAGATATGCTCTCTCGTGTATAATCGTTTTGTGTATCTGTGTGTTCTGTGTGTGCGCACTCGAATCGTTTGTTTACTTTCGATAAAGACCGACAATGCGCGAGTAAGGAAATTGACTCCATAATGGTAGTGCAGCACCCCAAACTGCACTCTGTAGCCCCTCCCAGCAGTCCTCGAGCAGAGTCCAGAGCTCTCTCCACCATCAGCTATTCCCGCCACCAGCAGCGATCTGCCCTTCCCCCTCTCCGCTCTTACACTCAAGTACCACCTGAGGTTCGTCTTCCATCCCTCTCTCTCTCGCTCTCTCTCTCCCCCGCGTTCTCTTTCTATCAATTACCGTTTGTTTAGGTTCGATTTCGTATTTGCTTTGTTTATAAAACAGCGTTGTATTTGTTCTGCGTTTTTGTACATTTTTATTTTATTATTGCATTGTGGCATTTATTTGCTGCCGCCAGTTTGTCTGGCATTGGAATTGTATCGGTTCGGGATCGTTCGGTGTTGGGGTCTGTGCCATAACATTTTACGATTTCCAAACACTAGAGCGGAGAACGCAGTGTTTACAGAATTGATTGTGCATTGAGAGGAGAGTTTAAACCAGGGCAAACCCATGAGGCACCCTTTTCTTATCTAGAGTCTTTGATATCGCTTACCTGCACATATTTGGAGAACATATTATTCGTGTGTATAATGACAGCACTGAAATTCCGTACAGTTTCAAATTCGAAAGTGATTTCCACGGGTCGACCCAAGAGCGTGTCATTACGCCAGCCAATCCACTCGAAACCTGCAGGGAAAATATTAAATAAAATCAAACATTAAATGGGAATGAAATGGGGAATGAATGGGGGGAAAACGGTATACAAATCTACAAATACAGACGACTATGCTTGGCATTTATCAATGCATTTTGTACGCTATTTAGTACCCCAGAGGATTGGCACACCTCCAAAGTACGAGTATTATTGTTGAGCACTGCAAAACCATCATTAGTTATGCGGTCTATGGTCTAGTTGTTGGCAATTTTATGTGACATTTATGCACAGTCTAGAAACTTCACTGTAGAGTGGCGATTGTGTGCAACTCCACAGTAGTGAGGGGGGACTGTAGGGAACTTTTCTGCAGTCTGGGGATTGTGTGGAACTTCTATGCAGACTGGAAATTGTATGGAGTTCCTCAATCGACTGTGGACTAGCTGAAACTGCTCTACGCACTCCAGATTGGACACCAGACTGCCGACTGCACACTAGTTTATGTGACAATTACATGGACTACCTTTCGTGCAATTTATACACTCGTATGCGGGGGAGCAAACTTCTCTTTTATTGCCTTCTTAGATCTAAAGCCGACACAAATCACACACTAAACACGACACAATACACTCCACATGAGTCTTACCTTTGCCAAAGCCATTGATATCATTGCGAAAGTTATCCTTGCCCCGCTGTCCATCCACCAGTTGGCCCAGGCCATTCACATAGCGATCGGCCTCCTCATGGCCATCGTAGGTCTTGTCCGACAGATCGATTTCCATGCCCCGCTGCATGCCCTTGGGTATGCTGTACGACACGATGCCCTCTGCAAAAATAGTACATGAGAGACAGAGACAGAGAAAGGAAAAGGAAAATGAATCTAGAGTTCAGTTTAAAGCGATTTGTGGGGTCATATATCCTCCTTCCACTCTTAATTGTAAGCCTATTTTTTACGAGTATTTTTGCAAGTATTTGGGGGAGTTGCAGCGGGCGAAAGAGTGTGTGCAATTGCCATGGAAAACTGTAAATTAAATACTCGCCTCCTGCCACATTGCAATCTTTAATAAAACAACAAAAAGAAAAACCAACTAAAGTTTCTTCGTGCTTTGGGGGCACCCCCAAACAACAGCCAAAGCGAAACAAAGTCATCAAGAAAAAACCGGTCCCATGGCTGATTGCATGCTTCAAGATATTTGTAATACACTTTACGGTTTAAAGGATATGTACATACATACATTCGTTTATAGGAAATGTTTAATCTTAAAATTAAATTCAAATGATTTAAATTCAATTAAAAAAAATAATAGGTATAAATTTTTAATAAAAAAGAAACATTTAAATTTAATATTTAAAGAACATTTATTATTAATTTGAAATAAATGTGCTCCCTAAGTAAATAATGTTTATCACAATTTTAATTTATTCCTACAATTATTTGTTGCTAAGTATTCGTCAGGACATTGCCCATTCGACTATCATTACATAAAAATTTCCCCTCCTGGTTTTGCTGCTATAAAGATACTTTTTCTTGTTGTTGTGCTTCTGCCTCAAGACACGGAACAAGTGCGAAATGTTGAAGATCAGAGGTTTTGGGTGGAGAGACGTTGCTGATCAGAGGGACAGAGAGAGATAGCGATGTGTGAGAGCATAACTCATGGGTTCAGTGGCAGGGGCAGGGACGGAGGCACCGTTTTACTTACCTTCCCAGGCACAGCCAACGATCTCAGCGCGCAGGCAGACAGTGCGATCGTACTGACTGTAGGGATAGATGCGCACCTTCGATGCAAAGATGCTCGGCTGCAGCACGTTCTCCACCTCGCTGTAGGTGTTTATATTCCCCGGTAAAACCTGCAACAACAGACAGAGAGAGATTATAAATGGGGTCTCATGAGGCAGGAATATTCGTCGTACGTTGTGTAGGTGGGAATCCCTGAGCGGGACCAAAAACAAAAGCGTTAAAATTGATTTTCCATTGCTTGCACACAATAAATCGATGGTGCAAACTATGGAATTGAGGGATGGAGAGGGAGAGGGAGAGGGAGAGAGAGCGGACTGGATTTCGTGAAACACCTACGCAATTTTCGCCTCTCTTTTGTGGGGCGATAGTTCGCACGTAAATTGTTTGGCTAAAAGATGCAATATCTTGCAGGCACCCAGAGGCTATTAAGATTCGTATCTGTTCGGTTCGAGGAGAATGTTCGCATGGGCCTGGCCTCGTGATTAATGTGTGAAGAGAGTGAGAGGGAGAGGAAGAGGAAGAGAGAGAGAAAGGAAGAGATAGATGTCTGTGGATATGAGAGAGCGTGAAAGGGTAACTAGAGACTATTTTTGGGGGATTGGAATAGCTATTAACGAGTCAATTTTTGACTTAGAAAAATCGAATCTGAGCCATTTTCTGATGTTTATCGACTTTGGAGGACAGAAAGATATTTATTTATTGAAAGTCAGAACAATTTAAGTGGTTTCAGCTTGTAAGACACCTAAATTGAATGCTCGGAAATATAAGCTAGCATTGTTTCAGCGTTGAAATGGGATTTACCAAGAGATTCAACTTCTTTCCCAATGGTTGTGGTTCCAATTTTCATGCTTTAATCTTTTTTTGGGACGAGAAATCCTGTCACGATGAATTCCCTCAACATTTCGTGCCTCACGTAATCATCTCGAAGTACTCACACTCTAGACTTACCTCTTTCCCTTGAATACTCTTCCAGCGTATCCATTTCTCAAAGCCTGGCCGCCAATACTCCACCACATAGGCCTCGGTGTACTCCTGGCCCTGACCTTTGCCAAAGCGACCCTGAGTGCGTATGGCGCTCACCAAATGCACCTGCAGCAGATCAATCTGTAGATATTCCTGCAGTCCACGCGATACCATATGCTTGGGACACCAGGCACCACCATTATTATCCACCTTAAGTCTGCAAAAAAGATACCACAGATTAATAGGGCAGCCTATAGGCAAGCACAAATCATGCAACTAAAATCCATTAAATGTACCCTTTTTTTTTTGGGTTGTTAACTTTAATTACAAAATATTTATTAACTTTATTTTTTCAAAATTTTTTTAGTGGGCTTTATGTACTTCATTTATTGTAAACCCAAAGCTTGCACTGATTGAGTGGCTCCGCATAAAAAAAAAGAAGTTCTTTCTGTTACACGCCCATTTCTTGTTTTTATATTTCCTTTTTTTTCTGCCATTCATTTGTTTTTTATGTATTTTTTGTATTGTTTGATGTCATTTGCATTTGGCGTTAATTATTTAATTAAATTTATGTAGGTACTGTTTGCTTCGATTAACAAAAGAAAATTGTAATCGAGATGCACATTTGAGTGGAGGTTGAGTCTGTAATTAAATGATTGGCACCAACACGCACAGAGCAGAGGGGTGACTATGGCATTCTCCATTAAAATACTCTACTGATTGCCACTTCATTGCCATGTTGCAGTTGTCATTGGGGTTTCATGTGCTTTTTGTGGCAAACAGTTCATAGGATATTTAATATAGGTTGCTCTGTAAGTGAGTTTCGTTTGAAAAGGGAGTTTCTAAGGCTTCAAATAGTTAACATTTGTCGTAATAAAAAATGTACAGAACATGATTTATGTTTGCAGAAAGGTTTTGTTTGGTTTTTGGCTTTAACAATTATTGCAATAATAATTGCTTTTAATTTGTCAATTCTCTAAAATTCTGACTGATATTTTAGTAACTGAAGCAAACTCTTTGCTGAAGAAGCTTTTATCCCTCCAACACATGTAAAAAGTTCAATTTATGTTATTTTTTGCTTAAAAAACTCCTTGGCCACAGTAACCATTACATTTTGTTGTACCTCTATGTACATTTTGTGTCAGATTTACGTAGTTGATTTAAGGATTAAAGGATTAAAGCAATTAATGAACAATGAACAACAAATATTTATTCCTAGTTTTACCTTTAATTCTGCGTACATATTTTTAGTACTTAAACTTTTCTATCAGAATATGTAGAAACACAAATAAGATGATTTATGATCCTTTTTTCGTATCTCTATTTCAAACATGGCATCCACTTCACACTTCCTCAAAGAAAAGTAACTCCAACTTTCTTAACCCCACATTCAGCGCCAACTCACAAACAGATTTTACCAGCTCCATGGCTAATAGAAACATATTTCCACAGTGCCACATGTTGCATAGCATACCAGCCATAAATATGCAAAAACTTCCTTATGGCAGAGAGCTCCCTTTACCCTTTATCCCTTTCCCTGTATGTGTATTATGCCTCTGCAGTCCATGCTGGGAAAGCTGTGAAAATTGTTGCAAAAGAGTCAATAAAATTGCATGATTTACTAGAGTTGTGTGCCCATCGCCAGGGACTAGAAAACTAGATAAAATATGGAATATTGTCCGTTTGTGTGTTGCACTATAAACTGTACACTGTACAGTCAAACTCAAGTGTCTGAGTGTGAGTGTGAGTGTGAGTGTGTTGCCGCCACACAAAAGGAAATTGTCGCAATGCAGTTGCAGGTTGCAGTTTGAGTTTTTGAAAGTTTGTTTTTGGGTGCCCAACCCCCCCTGTCAAGTGACGCGGTGTGTGGTTAACTTTTCTGTCGCTCTCTGCACTGTTTTTCGTTTGGGGGGTTCCAAAATTGAAAGTGAAAAGTGCCACAGAATGTACCAGCAGCAGCGGGAAACAGGAGCAGGAGCTGTGAGAATTATCTGCGGCAAAAAGCGGCAAAGTTTTCAAAAGTCATTCATAGCCCATTCAATTTTTGATTATGCAAATTGCCATTCACCTTGACACGCAAAACATCATTCACACCAAATATGCAATTTCCCCACCCCCAACCAATGAAAAACCATGAAAAATTGAGAGTGAAAACTCGTTTTTCCATTCAATGAAAGTTTGAGTTGTTTTTTGCTGATTGGATGTGGGGGAAAATACTTTTAAACGTGGAAGAAAGACCGTGGCAAAAGTCTTCTTTTTATGGATAAACCTCTTAAACCAATGCAGGGAAAATTGAGTAGGAAAAATGACATGGAGCTGGGTGGGTGGCATGCGGTTAGTGGTGCGCGAGTTTCTGTATTTCCTCCAGCCCATATGCATCCCATCCATGACCTACATTCACGCTATCCTTTCGCTTCCTCCTTGGGTGTGTGGGTTTTTTTATTTTCTTGCCACATATGGCAGGGGCCACGTTTTTATACCCGGAACTTGAAGAGTAAATAGGGTATATTGTATTTGTGGTCGGAGCAATGTGCGTAGCGCACAGTGGGAAACGTTTCAGACCCCATAAAGTATATATATTCTTGATCAGCATCAACAGCCGAGTCTATGTCTGTCCGTCTGTGCGTCCGTCTTGATGAGCGCCTGGATATCAGAGACTCTAAGAGGTAGAGTCACCTAATTTTGTGTGAAGACTCATGTGATATCATCACATCACATAGACTATATCTATCTGATCACCGAATTGGGATTGGATTGGATCATTATTAAAGCCCCATCCAGAAGCTTAGCTCGAGCTTGCCTATTGTTATCATTCTTTCTCGTTCGCACTCTCTGCCTCATGCAGACAGATGTAGAATAAACGTAAAATGTCTAATTCGATAAAAACCACTAAGGTACAGAATACCGATAGAGCACCATGTATAAAAGTTGTGACGCTTACAAAGCGTCTCACGAACGTTCCTACTCATTTCTTCTTTTTGTTATGCTATTTACGTTAATCGCGGTTTACAACGCGCCACAGACAGCGGCACCGACAGGATCTACGCCACGATATATGCAAAGCAGTAGGAAAAGGGGAACGGGAAAAGGAACAGCGGCAGGCTGTGGGCCACAGGCAGCGGCAGAGGCACAGGCAGAATCACCAGCAGGCTGTGGCAGAGTCATGGAGAACCAAGTCACCAAGTTGACTCGGATGCCAAGCTGCCATATTGTGTCCTTGCCCCAAAACCCCTCACAAATCTCCATCTACCCAATCCCACAAATCTCCCCCTTCTCTCCACATCATGCCATAATTTTGCCCTATCCCCCTGCTCTTGCCACAATTTCTGTGGGCCAATGCCTGCATTTGCGTACCCGTATTTTATTTTTGTTGTTTCTTGTTAAAGCGCGTCGAGTTTTTCAACATTAATATCAATTTGGTTCTCATAAATCCAATGAGACGTGTATCCAGGGAAAAGCCACAGTGGAAGAGGGAAATGGAAAGGGTGATGGTAAGGGGAGGAGGCACTGACAGTTGACGCTGAATTTTTCTTTTTACAAGAGTATTTCTGTTTATAATTTTTGTATATTCCTGACTTAAATAGGGATAATGGAGTAACCGAAAGGTGAACAAAAACGTTTGTTAAGCGACTAATTGGGCAAAGAATTGTATTAAATAATTAAGGAATTGAAACATTTGTCTTTTAGAGGATTTAAGAGTGTTTTAATATTGGAATTTATTTTTAAAAACATTTTTAAAGAAGCCAAACAAAGTAACAGCTATAAATGATAAATTCCATAAAAAATAAAAGAAAGTCGCAGCTTTGGGTAACATATACCTAAAATAGAGAAGGATTTAGGCACTTTTCCGCTTGATGTTATTATTGAAATGCATCGCAAGCAACATCCTCGAGCCGTTGTCTTGTCAAATAGCAGCAACGACCCGAGGAAGTTTGCTCAGATAGATCCAGCTTAGAAACTCAGGCACACACGAATATTCGATTTAAATCCAAATATTGACGATTCAAATTTTCATGGAACAGTAAATAAAATTTGCTTTAGAAAAGGAAACACGAAGCTTGAAGCGTTTGAGTTTGCCTCACAGGCAACTTCCTCGGTCCATGGGATTTCACAAATGCACAGCCATGACCCGAGGAAGTTTGCTGTGAGAGAACTCCAATATTATGAACATCCAAGGAAAATTAATAAACATGAAGGACCCTCAGGCTTAAGCTCAGATTTGTGCATTTAAATAACATAAATTATATTTAAAAAATTAATTTTAAAGGGTATTCGTACGATTTGAGTACAACACACAAATCCAAAGCGCTAAAGCTTCCTCTTCTACTTTCCCCCTACCCCTAGCTGCTGCTGTTTATTACCGTTAACATATGGGTCACCTGGGAGCTGGCAACTCGTACTTTAGGACTGTACTTTTTAGCAAAATTTGCATGACACCAAAGGCGCTGCTGTGTGCTCTCAAAAATGTTTTCTCAATGCGCACACAGAAAATTGGCCAAATAATGTCAGACGAGGACGAAGACGACTACGAATCTTGAGCTCCCGTCTGCTCCACTTACATAATGCAAGTTTTGCGGCAGGAAAAGGTGCAGCTGCAGCGAGTAACAAGCGACAGCAGCCTCTTCAAATTCCATGCCAAATACGTTAAGAGTCATTTTACAAGAAACCAGAAGAGAGCAACTAGGAAGAAGAAATATCTTCCTTTCATTAGCATCGTTTTGGCTGGTTGGCAGAAGAAAGCACTAACGAGGCGTGCAGGTTATATAATACCCGAAAACTATTTGCTTGAAACCCCCTCAAAAACCCATGGGGCATTCCGTGCGAAAATTTTATAATATTCTTCCTGCTTTTTTGGGTGGGTGGTCCTGCTAGATTTCGGTTTCGGGTTTCCTTTCGTGGTTTCGTTTTATGGCAAATTGTTGCATACTTTGCGGGGCCTTAGTCATTTCCATTGCATACTGTGCAGCGTTATGGGTCAGCAGCAGGAAAATGGAGAAGCAGCAGAAGCAGGAACCAGAGAAGGAGGAACAGTAGAAAGCGGAACAGGGTCCATAGAAGAAGAGCTGTAGAAGGAGGATACGGTAAAAGTCGTCCTACCCGTGGCACCTCCTAACAGCCAAGGCTTTATTTTAAAGCAAATGCAACTAAAATATGCCATAAAAGGTTTCTGCAGCTATCGCATAACTGCAGCACACGATGTTACGTGCCTGCGTTTCC